TCTTTACCAAAATGAATAATTAAACGCCTCTTGGGCGCTATTTATTTATCTATTTATACCAATCCCGATATGGATACAACGTTAAGACGCTGTATGTAGTAAAAATAAGTTTTTCGGAGCTATTTAAAAAAAACTATACATTTCAAAGCAGCAAAATAAATGTTCATATTACATCTTAAAGGACTTCTTTTAAAATTGACCTCGATAAATTTTCTTAATTGAAAAAATCTTGAAATTTTTATGAAAAAAATATACATTACATACGACCAAATCTTGATATAAATAAATATCAGTAACATAAAATGTCTAATAGCTAGAAATAAAACATTTGTAACTATTAAATTATTTTTTTAACTTAACTCGATGACTCCGTGGCGTAGTTGCTTAAGTATTGGCTTTGGCGTTGGGTGTCGTGGGTTCTATTCCCACACGAGGCAACTAATCTATATATTATTATAAACTTATGAAATTGCCATTCTTCAATACTGCCCATTTCAAACAAACGAAAATTAGATTGGTTGTGAATTCTACATTCAATTTTCTCTTAAAAACATGAAATTCTTTTTACAAAGTAAGTATTTTTTTTATAGATTAGCTTTGTATTTTCATAAAATGTGAAAATTTTTCATTATAATCAATACTGCAAAAATTCGTAGAATTGTGGAATATAAGTTAATAGTACTAACAACGTTTACGGAGAGAATTTTACAAACGTACGCACAACCCGTTATTGGTTTGCCTGGTTCCGTTCTGGAAATTTTGACTTGAAAAATGAACCTCGTGGTCGTCCGGAGATTTTGACAGCAATGATGAATTAAAGGCGCTTGTTCAAGCTGATTACTGATGCTCAATCTACGGCCGAGCTAGCAGCAGCTTTTGATGTTAGCATCAAAACATTATTGGTCCATTTGCGACAAATTGGCAAGGTAAAAAAGCTTGAAAGATGGGTGCCCCACGAACTTAACGATCGCCAGCGCAACGTACGCGTCGAGACCTGTTTCGCGCTGCGCATAAGGCACAAAAATGAAAGAATTTTGAACCGAATTGTTACGTGCGACGAAAAATGGATTCTGTTCGACAATCGAAAACGCTCAGAAAATTGGTTAGATCCTGGTTCAGCACCAAGCAAGACCCTAAACAAAAAATGACCCCTAGAACGTGATGGTCACTATTTGATGGTCTAGAGCCGGTGTGATTCATCACAGCTTTTTTAAAATACTTGAGCAGATGTGTACTGTGAAGAACTGTACTCTGTGTACTGTGATGAACTGTAGACAATGATGGAGAAGCTTGCACATCTGCAACCAGATTTGGCCAATCGGTCGTCCCGCTGCTCCTTCACATCAACGCGTGACCCTATACTGCACAGCAGACAGTTTCCATGCTGCAAGAGATGGTTTTGGAAGCTCTCCCTAATCCGCCATACTCACTAGACCTTGCACCTAACGACTATTACTTTTTGAAGCAAAGATCCATCGATTGCATTGGTGATTACTTTGAATAACAGAAATAAAAAAGTTTTAAAAAAATACTTTAACTTATACAAAACGGCAATTTTATAGATTTTATGTTTTAAAGACGTAATATAATGTCCTCACGACGCGGAAATCGACAATTATTGTGAAATTGTGAATCATTGTGAATACTTTGCAGTATCAAACGCCTTACAAAGAACATTTAACGATTAAAATTTGTAAGGAGATTTGTCGTCTTAGCTTTAAAGATTTTGGATAAATATTTATTGAGCCGTGATAGCTCAGTGTCCGGGCGCTCGCCTTTAATTCAATATACTCGAGCAACCTGAGTTCGATCCCCGGTGCCGGCACCAATGAAGTTTTTTACTTTAAGTGCTGTCTTATCACGTGCTCCGTGGTGAAGGAAAACTTCGTGAGGAAACCTGCATATTTTCGAAATAATAACAAAAAAATATTTCGAAGATATGTGAAGTCCGCCAATCCGCAGTGGGGCCGCGTGGTGGACTATGCCCTGATACCCTCTATACAGAGGAGGCCTTTGCCCAGCAGTGGGACATGTATAGGCTGTTACTTTACTTTTACTTTTATTTATTTTTAGTGCTAGTTTCTGTACTCAAGATGAAACTTTTTCTGGCGGTGCGGATGTGTGTGTGTGCGGTGGACTTAATTATGTGTGAACGGTAAAATCCCCAAGAATAGGAAACCAAAAGTTACCCGTTAGCATTTTGCTATTCTATCTTCAATATTTCTGTTTAATTCCCTGGTGAGAAGCGCTCACCTTGTTCATCACTCACCATTGTAAGATAAGGGAGGAAAAATCATCAAATACCCCATAAGATAATTATGGCTAAATTAAATAAGTAATTTAATTCATGTAATATCGTTTATTGTTTTAAAAATTGTGCCACACAATGTAATTATCTACCTAGAGGCGACTATACGGAAAAAATAACAATACACGGCAACAAACCTCCATCAGGCAAATTAAAAATTGATTAGAATCTAATGTTTCTATTTCCCTACCTTCCAGTGGTACTTATACATATACTAATAATTTCTTGTATTTACGCGATTAAACATTACTAAATTACTTTGTTTTACAAGTAAACGTAGTTTCATTTATATAGATAATATTTAGTTTTATTTTTACGGTACAAAAACTTTGTTAATTATATTACGTAGCATATTTATAATACAGTCACATAACTTGCATCATCATTATAAAGTAATATGAAAATCGAATGATTTTTTGTGAGCGCAAATACAGCACGAATAAATTTTTAGGGCATCAAAAGCTTCTGGTACGATCGGTACTGGAAATGATCGTTCTAGCCGTATGTTTAAATTTGTATCAAAAGTTAGAACATTAAAGTTTATAAAGCTTTTTATTATGTGAGAAGGTGGCAAGCCTCCTGACGGTTCACCTAATATTAAGTGATAACCGCCGGCCAGTGAAAGTCCACTTTTAATAAAGGCATAGGACATCAAAACATTTTAATACTTTATGATAGGCTGTAAAAACACCTTTTAAAACAAATTACTTCTTTCGTTACAAACATATTGCTTTTGGGGTTTAATTTGACATTTATCTAATATTTACAATTGAATCTAAATGTATCTAAAATTACATGTTATCTAATAAACTTAATCCACGCGGCATTGTGCCAAGAACGCTAGCTGCAGTTTCTCGCTGAATAGTTATGCTTAACCTTTGAGTGAGAAAAGAACCAGCTCTCTTGTCACCAGCCGCGGCGTTAAGTCTAGGACATAAACTTTTAAAAAATTTGATGTGCTCCCCCACGGAACTGAAGTTTCAACAATGGCACAAATACATAATCTAAACATAAAGACTCATTTGACATTCCTTAATAATTCGATATTAAGACGAAAATAAAACAAGTCGTAAACAAAAATTCTTAATGACCAAACTTTTAAATTGTAAATGAAAGCTTTTGCTTGTGTTCTGTTCTTAGGAACATTAGATTAAATGTAAGTACAGCGAGCAAAATGTTTAATTTATTTTTTCTAAACGTAATTTTTCACAACAGAATGCAATGCATCCAATTGTTACAATTTCTGTCATACTACATATAACAAGTCTCAAAAGAGTTTTAAAACTTTTAAACGATTTGTCACAGAAATCCAAAATGTGATGATTACAAACGTAAAAGTAGAAATCATGGTCAATAACAGAAGGCTGTTAAAATGTTATTTAGCATATTGTGACAAATAACCCCTATTTTTGTATATGTCATTCCCAAGTATTGTATTTTAAACTTGTGAATTGTTAACCATTTTTCTTAATTGAAACGGACGTCTGGTTTAACAAATAAATAAGTAAATAAATATTTGGGACACATTTGTACACAACATTTTCTAGTCCCAAACTAAGCAAAGCTTGTACTATGGGTACTAGAAAACTGATAAACATACTTAAACATACTTTTCTTTTGTAAATAAATACATATTATACATATAGAAACACCCAGACACTAGAAAAACACCATGTTCATCACACAATATTTTTCCAGTAGTGGGGATCGAACCCACACCCTCTGGCGCCGGAAGCAGGTACACTACCCACTACGCCATTCGGGTCGTCAACAATTCTTTCTTTATTCTTTATTCTTTATTGTACACAGATTATAAGTGAAAAACAAAGTTACAAAAATAAAATGTACAAAGGCGAGCTTAACCCTAAAAAGAGTTTTCTTCCAGCAAACCCTGACATAAGATTGATGAGAAACAAATCATTATATTATGATAGGTAAGTGTGTAAAACTAGATAAACTTATACTCTAAACTCAAAATATATAAAGAAGAGAAAATCAAAATAGAAGTAAACTAAATCATAAAACGTATAATACTATAAAATAATATATAATAAATAATACTATAAAATATATAAATATAAAAATAAACATAGTAACAAATAAATGTAGTAATATTAAAAATTTAATTGTATACGTACCGATGATTTACTATGCCGTTATGGAGATAGAAAATGTACTTTCACTCTATTACGGAAAATTTCAAGCGATGAACTGGCCCGTATGCAATGGGGTAGCGAGTTCCATAGCTTAACCGCCTTCATCGTGAAAGATTCGCTATACCGACAAGATGAGTGGCAAGGAATTTTCAGAAGAAGAGATTTATTACGTCGGCATTGAGTACCGCATGGAACGAGAAACTCGAAGCGTTCCCGAAGATATGGAGGAGCAAGAGGATTAAACACCAAAAAGTAAAGGAAAGAAATGATATGTAGATCTTGACGTTTACGGATAGAGAGCCATTTTAATTGCACCCTGAACTCAGAAACATGATCATACTTACGGAGTCCAAGATGAATCGTATGCGCAAGTTCTGAAGGCGTTCCAGCTTGTTCAATAGTACCTCCGTAACGTCAAGGAAACAAACATCAGCATAGTCAATTATAGGAAGGAGAAGTGTATGAGCTAAAGTTATCTTTGTTTTCAAGGGCAAAAAAAAACTGAAAACGTTTGAGGGATTGAAAAGAATAGTTTACAGACACTGATTGAATATATACAACAACGGCTCTGCCAAGGCGAATCGACAGTCTCTGAACAGGTAAGGTGGTATACCATCCGGTCCCGCTGATTTCTTCGGCTTAAGTTGTTTAAGTGCCTGTCTCACCTCGTCCAAAGTCAGCCTACCCACGTGGACCCGTGCCGCTCCATTCTCCCCGCCTGCTGCTGCGATGGCTGCGCTTACGTCCAACTCCGCTCTGTGTGAACTATAAACTGAATGGAAAAAGTGAGCGAACTCTGTAGCACAATGCTGAGCATTCAATACCTCCCCGTTCTTAAGAATTTTTTGAACACCCCTATTACCTCTTTTTGTTTCAGTGTAGTTCCAGAACGATGTTGGATCCTTGTGTAGGACATTCTGAACCCGGAGAAGATAGTTCTTGTGAGCGATTTCTATCATGCTCTTAACTTTTGCCCTACACTGAGCGAACGCATCGTAGTCTGCTTTAAATCCACTCGCTTTATACCGTCGGTGAAGGCTCGCTTTCAATTTTATGTTGCGAATTATTTCGACCGTGTACCACACGGGGTAATTGTACCTCGGAGATACAGGACTTCGCTTTTTTTTTCGGAACGCAGTCATCGATAATTGATGTAAGAATGTCATAAAAGTAGTTTAAACTTTCCTCTTAATTTAAATTATATAACTTTATCCAATCTACTTCCGCAATAGACGAGTACAATCATATAAAATCAGCCTTGTAAAAATTCCAACTTGTAGGCATACTCAGACTCGCCTCAGGTAATACTCCGTCAGCATGACGATGACAGTTTGAACGCAATGTCACCGTGATGTCCAGCGGTGGGTGATGCACATCCACCGGCACAAGCGGCTCCCGAGACTCGCGCACGTCCACCCTACCATACGCCGATAACCCGCTAAGGACTAGGTCCAGACATCTGTTATTACAATTAACTACTGCGTTACTCTGAGTGAATCCACAATACGTTATAAAATATTCAAAATAGTTATTTATGTCTAAGGAGCACGAATGTAAATTAAAATCGCCTACTATTACTACCTTCGCTGTACCGATCACAATATTGCTCAATAATCCTAAACAGTAACATATATTCATTCTCGCGGCTATTGGGCGGTATGTAAAGAACACGTATCAGGCACAAAAATCGCCCGCGCTTGTATACCGTCGCAGAAACCAGCTCAAATGTATGCGCGTCTATATTGACGTCACACTGCACTCGGCGTAATTCTAACCGCTGTGTGGCCACGAGAAACGCGCCTCCCTGTTTGCGTCCGTCCGCTCGGTCACATCTGACAATTGTATAACCCGGTGGAATTATCTCTGCGTCATATATGGATTCGTTGCATCCAGTTTCTGTGATAGCGAATAAGTCTGCAGTCGAAGAAGCCACGGCCACGTAAAATTCATTCAGTTTTGTCCGCAGTCCCCGTACGTTCTGATAAAATATTTCCACCGATTTATTCAGATATTTTGTACTATGAACGGGTGGAGTAACTTGCTGCTCTGCGAAACCACACCCATTCACAGAATTCCACATTAATCGGCCATACTTCCGATTGACACAGCAGGTTATACTTACTTTTGGGAACTGCTATGATGAATAATCTCTCTCTGTTTTGTGCTTAATTTTCTCTATTTTAATAGGTACCTCCTTTACTACATCTCGGACAAACTGTTCCAATTTCTCCGCTGTTGTATCCTCCCGAAGCCGCCAAACATGTAAAAATTTTTGCTTTTCTGTTCCTTCTATTATTGACTGCATACTCTCACCTCGTTTTACTTCCTGAGTAGGATATCTATTTCTCTTACTTTTTACTACTGTCCAGTCCCCTTCTCTTCCTGTAATTGTCTTTTCCTCTATCACCTGACTTCCCTTCTCTGCATCGATTATTCTTGTTTCCGCCGGTTTCATGACCTCACACTTTTGTTGAACTATCGTCGTTTGATTTTTTTTTAACGGCATCCACAAATGATTGCACCGGCTCTTTGGACTGGCCTACCTTAGCTTCATTGCTCTTCGTTTCTTTCTTCTTCTTCTCGGTCTCCAGAGCGTTTTCCAGAAATTCATTCCTCATTAATAAAGTTTTCAGTTTAGACTCTAGTAAATCTACCTTGTTAACCTTTTCTAAAACTAACTTCATAGACTGCTTTATCCTTTGTACCTCCGATTTCGTTCTAATAAATCTGTCTAGAAGCTGTGCATATTCCTTCGACTGCTCTTTAAAGCGTGATTTCATTTCCCAACGAAATTCTCTTAGCTCCTCAAGCAGCTTTTCTTCCGTCCCAATCCTCGAATCATCCAGCATGACTCGGTTACCCCGCTCCTTGGTGACATAGCTGGTACTCGGAGTAAACGTTTTTTATTTTAAAGTAAACGTTTTTTATTACAGCACCTCGGACTGGCGTATCAGAATTGTTCCCTTTTGGAGAGTCTCGCATACACTCGGGGCAGCTCCAATTGGCTTTGTATTCCTCGTACTGCGTATTTGACATTAACAAACATTTTAGGTGGTATATCTTTCTGCAGTTTTCTCGTGAACAATCCATAAACGATAAATCGTATATCGCCTCATTACACCCATTACATTTAATTACCATTTTACATTTATTTATCTATTAATTAATTTATTTATTTTTTAACTCGCGATCAAAAAAAAAACGCCTACGTACGTCCTCGAGCGCAAGCGGCTCATAAGTCTTGGGCCAAGCCCTTAGATTCCGCCCGCTGTCGCTTCTGCTTTTCAGTTACGCCAAGCACAAAAGTGTCTCGTACGATAGGTGACGTTTAATTTGATTCAAGCGCAGCTCTCAGCGTAGCTTGTACTATAGTTGTTCTCTCCTGCAGCGTTCCTTTTCTTTTGCACCGTATATAGGTGCACGCACCTAGACGCACTTCCTGAGCGTTATGTGCACCTGGTACTTCGGCGTAATTAATGATACCGAATATTTTAAAAAACTTTTATTCAATTTTAAATAAAATAGAAAGAAATAACCAGCACAGTACACGCGTCTAATCGCTTTAGCGATCCCACTTTGACGTATAGCGTTGCCCCTCGTTTCTCCATCCTTACATTTCCAACAATGTCCTCAAGCACCGTGACATCGCTCACCTCAGTACATATTCTTGTAGAAAGCGTTTAAAAGAGTGGTTGCTCTCTCGACTAAGAGGAAACAGAAAATATCCTTATCTAATAATAGTAATACGAAACATCCGCAAACACAAACGCACGCACGTACGCACGAATATAATATAACCGCAGATACCCTCAGATTCCAATAGCATAGTCAGATGCATATGCAGTTGCATACGCATCTGACATATGCATCTGACTATGTTAGGAGCACGCAAGTACTTTTTGTTGCATGAATTCCGCCAACTCGTCGGCCACTATCATCAGCAGTTACTTTCGCAATTTCATAAAAATAAGCACTTTACTGTGTCCTAATAATATCTACTCACTGTATCACTCTAGTATCTTTTGGTAGAGACTATAAAGAGTAACCGAGAGAGTTGTAAAAATATAATATTGTTTTTTTTTTCTGTGAGAGAGTGGCAAACGAGCTGGCGGTTCACCTGATCTTAAGTAATAACTGCCGCCCATGGCCATTTGCAACACCTGTAGGGTTGCAGATGCGTTGCTAGTTGCCACCTTCTAATATCGTGGGCCCCGGCAGGAAATTTAAAAGCAAAAAAGACAATATAGGATATATGCTATAGTGTCTTTTTTGCTAACGATCACTGTTATAACAGCAATAACCTAAGAGCTTTTGATCATTTTGCAATTGTTATTTATAAACTCTACAGCGTTTTAACTAAACAGTTTTATTATGAAGAGCACAGTTAACACCACCAATTACTAATTGCTATAACGCTTTCATGTGATTAAATGGAAGTTATGGTTTACAATTTACAAAAGTTACATTCGCAAAATACGTTGGCTGGCCGTTTGAGATAGTTCATACTAGTTTACATAACTAAAATGCTTAAAAGTTATCAAAAAAACAACAGAAATTTCAGAAGACATAACATAATAAACTCTGTAAAATTATTGTTACTGGTTGAAAACTGTTACGGTGTATTCAGATATCCTATTATCTTACGTAAGAAGAGACATTTAAGGCTTTGTGGACTAATTATTCCATTTGTCCTCATTGGTTTATACGTGATGCTCAATGATTTGCCAAACAACCTTCCAGCACAGGCAATTGGAAATTTATCACCGACGCTAATTTTGTTCCAGTACCTTGTGACGACAATCTTAACGAATTTTCTGCAAGTTACGCCGAATTTACAGTTATTTAAATTGTATAAAAAAATTGACGGCAATTTAAATATTAATATGCTAGAAGACTTTTACAAAAAAGCGAGATCCTCAACGAACAAGTTAGTTACTGTGTTTGTCTTAATTCAGATTGTGCAAAATATTTGCTATTATTTCTTTGAATCGCGCATAAAACCTAATCATTATGTTGTTATAGTTGCTTATTTGGAACGTAATTTAGAAATTGCCTTATTCTGCCAGTGTATTAATATGCTAAAAAAGAGATTAAGCGTTCTTAACGGTCATTTGTTAATATTATTAAATAGACGTAAAGAACATACTGCACATAAATATAAGCACGCTGAAATATTAAATGTTAATTGTATTCAAAATGCGAAAAGATTTGAACAGACTATGAATAAAAGTCTTTTAATGCGAGACTTGACTATAGCATACTATGAAGTAGGCGAGGCATTAAGTATAATAAACAAATTGTTTAATTTCCAACTTTTCATGACTCTTTTGATAACTTTTACGGTTTTTATTATAACAACTTGGGTTTCACTTTATTATTTCTGGTCACTTAAATGTTATATTTCTCTTATGAATATTATTATTTGGGGCCTCGTGGAAATCTTAATTGTTGCCTTAATTTCATATGTTTGCGAAGACCTCTATGCGACTCGTAGGAATACCTGTCAATTTGTTGAGGAAATCATTATGAATTATGAATCTCCAGAAAATGTGAGAGCTCAAGCTAAAGTTTTAATGCAAATAATTGAAATGTCACCATTACAAATTGTTGTTTACAATATGTTTACTATTAATTTGAAATTATTATTAAATTTTCTAAACGTGGCGACAACTTATCTAATTGTTATCTTACAAATAGCGAATTTCTTGTAATAATGCTTTCATTAAATGTTTATACAGACATACTTAATGTTATTACTTTATTTTGTCAAAACAAACTGTTCTGTTGTGTGAGGAGCGCATGTTATGTTGGAGCCGTGTTATGATCAGAAACCCTGAATGCTCGAAAGAAAAAGTATAATTAATACTAATTAATAATTAATTAGTATTTGATGACTCCATGGCGCAATCGCCAAGGTATTGACTTCGGCGTGAGGGGTCGTGGGTTCGATTCCCACACGGGACAACTATATGTTGTTTCGCATCTGGTGAAATTTATGTTTATAAACCGGCATTACAACACAGGATAATATTATCCTAAGTAATGGCAATGTTTAATTAAAAAAAAATACATATAACTAATTAATCGCAACAAATCGTCTTTACAAAAATTCCACAAATTATATGATCATGTGAACATCATCGAAAAATATTTTTTCATGTCATAAAGACAAATTAATTGCAGAAGTCCAATATGTAATCATAATTTGATTTTTAAAGGGATTGCCGAAACTAAGATTCCATAAATATTATACGCATAAATCTGTATGATAAAGAAATTTCGGTGTCAGGCGAGTATTTAGTGTACCGGAAAGGCCTTCCTGTTTAAATACGATTAATATTATAAATAAGTACCAACATTATGCTGTGATTGTTGCTGTCGATCACGCAGTTAATTATAAAATAACGTACCTAATCGTTATTTCATAGTTAAATGAATGCAAAGCAGAAGCTTTACAATCTCTCGTTACAAATATTCATTGTTGAATGTTATTTGTTATGTGTTTCATGCTGTAAAGTATGCACACTAAACGGTGCCAAGCATTGCTGAAATACATTGCAAGATTTTCGCGCTGTGATGTCATAAGTCTCTGTGCTGCATCGCCACTTACCATCAGGTGGGATCGCAATGCAAGCGCTGGCCAGTTTCGAATAAAAAAATGAAAAGATCAGTCACCAGTCTCTGTTAAAAGTTTTATAATAAAAATCATCGGTACAGAAAGTTTAAGGGGATATTCACTACGGGACCGCACTGCTGATTGACGGAGTTCACATATCAGGTTTCCTCATGACATTTTCTTTCGCCGCTGAGCACGTGATAAATCAGCAATTAAAAATAACAATTTCATTGGTGCCAGCAAGGGAATCAGGTCGCTTGACTATATTGAATTAAAAGCGAGCGCCCGGACAAGGAGCTATCACTGCTCAAAGTCCTTATATTTATATTTTGTTCATTTATTATTATTATATATATATATATATACACAATTTCACATTTTAAATATATTATTATATATTATATACACAATTTCACATTTTAAATTCCCTGCTTCCTTTGATCTTTACGTCAGTAACATACTGTGAGGGTTATACATTATAAATGAAACTAATTTTACGGATTTATCGCGTTTATTTTTAATTTTAATTTCCGACAAATGTTTTTATAATTTTGAACCCTTTACAGCGTTCATGGTCACGGGACAGACTGAGGTGTTAGACGTCTGATTGTCATAGTTAACCCGGGCTACCGTCAATTTTGAATGATTAATTTTGTGTCCGATCTATGCAGAGGGAGCTAATTGTATCTTGTCTTGCAGTAGTGGTTCGTTTGGGCCTAGATTTAATTTTATTGATGCCAGGATCCCAAGCTGACGGTAGTACCCAACCCTCTTCTCTATTGAAATTAGGGTATTTTTTAATTTCAATAGCCTCGCGAATCATCCTTGTTAGGAATCGGTGTTCTTTTGCAAGGATCTGCGGTCTATCAAACCTGATGTAGTGGTTGGGCCCATTTAAAGTGTGCTCACAAACTGCAGACTTGTTCAATCTACTTTGTTTTATGTCAGCTATATGTTCTTTCACGTGGGTTTTTATTGCTCTTTTCGTTTGTCGCTCTTTTAGCTTCCTTGTTACAATTGAGATGCAGTCTTCTAATGGTATTTTTAATGAAGGGATTCCCATGGTGTTTTTAATAAAGGGATCACAACGGTGCATACTTTGATTAATTAAATATATTTTACAAAAAAAATTTTGACTTTATATTCCACCCGTACAAAACGCCAATTTCATATGTAAGGACCATTATTATATTTTCAAGGTTCCAGTATTACTCGTAGTTGGTATGCACGTTT